GCATTCTCATATGGTGGATATCTTGGGCAAATGTGCATTCGCATTGTGGATATCTTGGGCAAATGTGTGTTCTCATGGTTGATATCTTGGGCAAATGTGCATTCTCATGGTGGATATCTTGGGCAAATGTGCATTCTCATGGTGGATATCTTGGGCAAATGTTCATTCTCATGGTGGATATCTTGGGCAAATGTTCATCATCATTGTGGATACACTTATTTATCAACTGAAGTAAGAAGACGTCGTAAGGTTCGTGAATCTTAAAAAGTGTAAGCAATGGGGGAGGGGGTCCCTACGGTAAAAGGAAGTAGTTACAATACGGCGGAAAGTATGCAAATAAGGACGCCTAAATAGTAAAGTGTAACAATATGGCGGAAAAATAGCCAATATGATAAAGTGTAACAATATGGCAGAAAAAATGCAAATAATATGGCAGAAAATAGCAACTCAAAGCATTGCTCTTCACCCCCCCCCCCCCCAAACCCCAATTTTTTAATTCACCCCCAACCAGATGCCGCTGGGCACGACCCTGAATCAAACCTGCCCGAGAAGAATTGAGCATGCATACACAGTGCCAAATAAAGTTTGACTGCCCATCTCGTTTTGAAAAACTTCCTGAAGCTTAATTATTTCCCCGTAATGGACCTTACTGTTAATTTTCTTTTTTACCCAATGGCCTCGTTTCCATGTTAATAACTTATTTTAGCATGTCAGCGGCAGATAAAGATTATATATATTAATTCCCATGTTCTCCTGGACGAATTTGTTTCTTGCTGTTCTTTAAGGCTTAGTAACAAAAGTAATTTTCAACGCCACCAAGCACAAAACATGAGTATATAAGTATTTGACATGAAAACAATGTCATTGGGTAAAAGAGATTATAAAATAACATGTGTATAACATGTGCTCTGATTGGTCGAAACCTGTGTTTGGATCAGGCCATCCAAACACGAAGACTATCGTGTTGTTGTTATTTTATAAAACGATTACTTAATGGTTTCCGCCTGTTTCCTCAGATCCAAACACATGGGAATGTTGTGAGAGTTAAAAAAAGCGCACAAAATAACTCGCCTTCAGCTTGGGATTTTGCACGCTAATTTCTTAAGTCTTGCAACATTCCCGCATGTTTGGATCAGGTCATCCAAACATGGAAACCATAAATTAATTATATAATAATCAGAGTGTAAGGTCTACTAGCTATTATGACATCTTTACAGGCAGAAATCTCGACTATACATAACTCGGAGACTGGACACATCAACCCAATAACTTAACTCATGACATTGACATGCTAAGAATCATTTGTTGACGGATGGGTAATTTATATCTCTTGTTTATACAGAGTCAGAGATGTGCATCCTAGGACAGTATGCATTTCAAATTCATTACTGCAATCTCGACATTTACTGGTAATGTGATTAATGTGTTATTCACCTGTTGTATTACATGAAGTATCAAATTATTTAAATATATGAAAGTGTTGATCATATGAATTATGGCATTCCCATATTATACGCGTATAAATTGAGAAAATCAACAACTTGTTCCAGGTTGATATCAACAAGCGGAAACAAGGTTGCGCTGCCCACTATAAACAGTATTGTCAACATATTGTTGCAGCATTCAGTTCAACTGTAACAACTTGGAACAACATGGTTGACAACTTGTTCATAGTTGGCCACACAGCATTGTTCCCCCCTGTCCATATCAATTTGGAACAACCTGCGTGTTTTTAGCCGTGTAGAATATCTCCGGTTAAATCAAAGTCCAGTGTCAATCCAAACAACGTGTGTTATCTTCATTTTATTGTTCCATTCTTCATTGGTAGCTGTAACTGATTACGTAAAGTCTCGTCTTAGTCTATCTGTTCCATTACATGATTTGTTTGAGTAATGAATCATGAAAATAACAAATGTTACAGCTGTGAACCACACCTTTAAAAATGTTGGGGGAGGAGACCATTATAACAGTTTCAAAAGCGATTGGTTTCAACTATATTTATAATGTTGAATGACTTATGGGTAAAATGAATTCAGACGATAGGATAACTATACGTACAAGATCAATATCAGTTCAGCTTTCTATTTCTCGTCGTGCAAAAATAGACACGTGGTCACTGTGCATTGCGCGGTCGATCAGTCGAAACACGACCCGAATTGGCGATCTGAAATGCGATTGATCTTGTACTTATAAGACTAGCTTTTTACGCGCGTGGCTTTATATGAGGTAATTTGACCATTGCCGTTCTCATATTGACTTTGAGTACACATGTTTTTGAAATAAGATTTGATAATATTGTTAACTCTGATGCTTTCAACTATATTTATAATGTTGAATGACTTATGGGTAAAATGAATTCAGACGATATGATAACTATATGTACAAGATCAATATCAGTTCAGCTTTCTATTTCTCGTCGTGCAAAAATAGACACGTGGTCACTGTGCATTGCGCGGTCGATCAGTCGAAACACGACCCGAATTGGGGATCTGAAATGCGATTGATCTTGTACTAATAAGGCCAGTTTTTTACGGGCGTGGCTTTAAAATGAATTCAGACGATAGGATAACTAAACGTACAAGATCAATATCAGTTCAGCTTTCTATTTCTCGTCGTGCAAAAATAGACACGTGGTCACTGTGCATTGCGCGGTCGATCAGTCGAAACACGACCCGAATTGGCGATCTGAAATGGGATTGATCTTGTACTTATAAGACTAGCTTTTTACGGGCGTGGCTTTATATGACGTAATTTGCCCATTGCCGTTCTCATATTGACTTTGAGTACACATGTTTTTGAAATAAGATTTGACAATATTCTTAACTCTGATGCTTTCAACTATATTTATAATGTTGAATGACTTATGGGTAAAATGAATTCAGACGATAGGATAACTATACGTACAAGATCAATATCAGTTAAGCTTTCTATTTCTCGTCGTGCAAAAATAGACACGTGGTCACTGTGCATTGCGCGGTCGATCAGTCGAAACACGACCGGAATTGGCGATCTGAAATGCGATTGATCTTGTACTTATAAGACCAGCTTTTTACGGGCGTGGCTTTAAATTGAATTCAGACGATAGGATAACTATACATACAAGATCAATATCAGTTCAGCTTTCTATTTCTCGTCGTGCAAAAATATACACGTGGTCACTGTGCATTGCGCGGTCGATCAGTCGAAACACGACCCGAATTGGCGATCTGAAATGCGATTGATCTTGTACTTATAAGACCAGCTTTTTACGGGCGTGGCTTTAAATTGAATTCAGACGATAGGATAACTATACGTAGAAGATCAATATCAGTTCAGGTTTGTATTTCTCGTCGTGCAAAAATAGACACGTGGTCACTGTGCATTGCGCGGTCGATCAGTCGAAACACGACCGGAATTGGCGATCTGAAATGCGATCGATCTTGTACTAATAAGACCAGCATTTTACGGACGTGGCTTTAAAATGAATTCCGACGATAAGATAACTATATGTACAAGATCAATATCAGTTCAGCTTTCTATTTCTCGTCGTGCAAAAATAGACACGTGGTCACTGTGTATTGTGCGCTCGATCAGTCGAAACACGACCCGAATTGACGCTCTGAAATGCGATTGATCTTGTACTTATAAGACCAGCTTTTTACGGGCGTGGCTTTATATGACGTAATTTGACCATTGCCGTTCTCATATTGACTTTGAGTACACATGTTTTTGAAATAAGATTTGATCATATTCTTAACTCTGATACTTTCAACTATATTTATAATGTTGAATGACTTATGGGTAAAATGAATTCAGACGATAGGATAGCTATATGTACAAGATCAATATCTGTTCAACCTTAACTTTTCGTCCATTTTTAGGGATTTTCCCATTTTTCATAAATGGGCAAAAACAGCAAAAAAGTAAGGCTATAGCCTTAACTTTTCGTCCATTTTTAGCGAATTTTACCTTAATTAAGTTTTCGTCGATTTTTAGCGACTTTTCCCATTTTTCATAAATGGGTAAAATACAGCAAAAAAGTAAGGTTGTATCCTCAATTTTTCGTCCATTTTTAGCAACTTTTGTCATTTTTCATAAATGGGCAAAAACAGCAAAAAAGTAAGGCTATAGTCTTAACTTTTCGTCCATTTTTAGCAACTTTTGTCATTTTTCATAAATGGGCAAAAAACAGCGAAAAAGTTAGGCTATAGGCTTAACTTTTCGTCCATTTTTAGCGATTTTGTCTTTGCAATTTTTCATAAATGGGCAAAAAAAAGTAAGGCTATAGCCTTAACTTTTCGTCTATTTTTTGCGTCTTTTGCCATTTTTCATAAATGGGAAAAAAAACAGCAAAAAAGTAAGGCTATAGCCTTAACTATTCGTCCATTTTTAGCGACTTTTGCCATTTTTCATAAATGGGCAAAAAAACAGCAAAAAAGTAAGGCTATAATCTTAACTTTTCGTCCATTTTTAGCGTCTTTTGCCATTTTTCATAAATGGGAAAAAAAACAGCAAAAAAGTAAGGCTATAGCCTTAACTTTTCGTCCATTTTTAGCGACTTTTGCCATTTTTCATAAATGGGCAAAAAACAGCAAAAAAGTAAGGCTATAGCCTTAACTTTTCGTCCATTTTTAGCGACTTTTCCCATTTTTCATAAATGGGCAAAAAACAGCAAAAAAAGTAAGGCTATAGCGTTAACTTTTCCTCCATTTTTAGCGACGTTTTGCATTTTTCATAAATGGGCAAAAAAGAGCAAAAAAGTAAGGCTATGCCTATAGCCTTAACTTTTCGTCCATTTTTTGCTTTTTTTGCCATTTTTCATAAGTGGGAAAAAACAGCAAAAAAGTAAGGCTATAGCCTTAACTTTTCGTCGATTTTTTGCGTCTTTTGCCATTTTTCGTAAGTGGGCAAAAAACAGCAAAAAATAAGGCTGTAGCCTTAACTTTTCGTCCATTTTTAGCGTATATTTCGTCCATCTAGGAGTACTCTACTTCTGGTTGTATATATATGTGTATAACAATTATGGGACTGTAAGTATATATAAAATTAGAATATTTTAATCTCTTTCTATCTTTATATATACGTTACTTTGCCCTATTTTTAGCACTGATCTGTACTAAGACTACAGGGTATATTATTAAAGACAGGATCATATAAATTCGTGCTAAAAGTGAACTTGGCTTGGAAGTGAAACCGCCGCGATCATATTACGTATCACGCCATAGAATTTCTATTTATATTAATTAAAGGACAATGGCAACAAAAAATTTTATTGTTTCATTTTAAAGAACGTTTAAAATCATCTCCAAAATCTTGTTGTTTATGTTTCATATCTTGCTTGATTCTTGAAATATTTTGACTGAAAGTAATGAACTGTCCGCCATCTTGGATTTTTGAGGATATGCCACTGAGCTATAATATATCTGGAGGAAGTGCTCCTATCTCTCTTCAGTCAAGCAAGTGAAGCCAAAAACATGGCGGATTTTCAAGGATTTTCACATTTGCTGACGCCAGAATGACGCCACTGGTCCCAAATCCTCGTGGTAATTACCACTGAGCAAGGCTCATTTTGAGCCCGCTACCAGTTTCTCATCCCCCTGATTTTCACAAAAATATTTTAGCTTTTTGTTTTGAAGTTTGCCTCGGTGTTTGCCTTCTCTTCGACATATTTTTAACATTTGTTTCGAGTTGCACAAGTGGTAAGAATCATCCTGGCTAGTGAAAGACAGGGAACGAAT